TCAGATCTCCCACTTACACCATACTCCTTTTTTTCAGCACCAAATCTACAAAAACAGCCGACGGCCATGATATGCCTACCGCCTCGCTGGCACAACGGTTATCAAGTCGCAACGAAACATATTGCCGTTTTCCCGCCACTTTCCTCCCTTATCATTTCTCCATTTTCTTTCCCCAGAGGGACCAATATCAACACCCCAAACCAAACCAGACATCGCACAAGCCATTGCCGTACACTGATTCACCACACCGTGTTCCAACCACAACCTTATTTGTTGGTATGAAATCCATCATCATCATCATCATCGTCTTCATAAGAAAAACAACTAAAATTGTACATCCCGTTGGGCTTTCGTTCGTGCTGCTTCATGCTGCTGGTTCCAAGGAGACATCACATCCTTCGAAATCCATCGCCGTACAAGCGCCGTACATAACCCCCTCGCCACACACCAGCCAACCCCGACGTAAGAAAATAATTCTCCCTGCTCCAGGGGGCCCTTTCTTCCCCACCACGGCGCAGTGAGCCCAAACCTCCACAACACTTAACCCCCCCCCGCCCCGCCAGCACCAGCCCGTGCTGGACGAGCGGCGGAAAGGCGAACCCCGCACTTCGCGACCCAATGACACCGGAGGCCGCGAGAACCGCACATACACACATACACACATACACACACACATACACACACACATACACACACACATACACACACATACACACACATACACACACACATACACACACACGCGGCTCTGCAATTCTACCCTCCTACTATCATCCCGTCTCTCCCCCCCCCATATCCATGCCGCGCACCCATCCCACCTTCGGAAAAAAATCGTTAGTTAGCTCGGCTGCTGCTGCTGTTAACCCGGCGTTGACCCGACCTGATTACCTTTTGACTTCACCACTTCACATGTCCAGGCGCAGGGAGCCGGTGTGCCCCGAGATGCGCTCCGGAGCCACGCCGTACCCCATATCTATCCACTCTTGCCGCAACTTGCGGAAGGCGATCTGGGGCTTGTCGGCTTGCAGGCTCAGCTGGGCGCAGGGGGTAGGGGAATTTGGGGCCAGAGGAGGCGGCGGCGAACAAGACAACGAAGTGAAGTAGGCGAGGTGACGGCGGGGTGTCGACATGTTGATGTAATAAATAGCACCAGCACTTGACACGTGACTCAAGTGCAGGTGGACCTTGCCTTGCAGCAGGAGCTAAAATAAAGCGTACGTCACTGCTCTTTACCTCCGTTCATTCGCTTCGCAGATTTGCTGGATTGGCGACAGGTACGACATGGCCCCACTCCGTTCCCTCCCCCTGCAGTTACCTCAGCGGCCAGTTGCTCGGGCTTCAGCAGCTCAATCATGGCCTTGTCTTCCCCCAGAATCTTGAACATGTTCTGAGGCGAACGGATCCAGGGGGGGGGCGGTGTGACCACCGGGCGGGGGGGGGGGGCGACGCAGCGGCTTCAAGGACATGGAAGGGACACCAGTGGCGGCGCGGCCCCAAAGAATCGAAAATCCAGAAGCTCACAGAACCGAACCAACCGATCAAAACGAACAAACAACCCGTTTTTTCGAGTGGTGGACCTCTGGCCCCAATGACTTTGATACAGTGAGAAAGCCGGGACTGCTGCAGCCGAAGCACTGCTGCATAGCATTAAGTTAACTCGAAAACTGAAAAACATTTTAAACCGGGTGTTGTTGAAAGGCCAGGGCTTCACGTCACCGCTCTGTACGGCACCCTTTTTTCGTCCCTCAACTTCGCGTCAACGCCCGGTGTGGTGTGTGGTCGTACCTTTCGTGTATAGTCGTCGAACACAGGCGACGGCAGGAAGTTGCGAATTAGACAGAAGCGGTTAATGGCGCGGTGCTCGTCAATGGGTACGGTGTTGACAAACGTGATCATCTGGATACCTGTACGACATGTGTATTTCAAGCGGTTTGAAGGGGGGAAGGTTTTCAGGAGGGAGAGTACGAGGTAACGTTAGACAGGGTATTTTTCCATAAATACTGCTATATTCAAAAATCAACTACTTTTGGTTTACCTCACTGATGTTAGGGGCAAATACTGTGGGGCAAATTGCCCCACCTCGCCAAATCCGGAAATAATTGTTGAAGGGCATTTGATTTTCGTGTTTTTGTTAACTGAGCTTAAAAGACCCACACGCACAATCTGGTGTGCGCGTGTCACACCTGTGTATTTCTTGGATCTCCACCCGGCGCGCTTTCATTGCTTCCCCCCTCCTCTATCCCTCCCCCTCTCCCACGCGGGCTCGGTTGTACCTCCCCATTTCTCCCCCTCCCGTTCACCCCTCCCAACTCCCCTACTCTTCACCCGCACCCCTCCCCCCCACTCCCCCTTCCCCTCGGACCCCCCTCCTCCTCCCCAAGGCCTCTCACCGGCGCCCAGAGTGATTTTGACGTAGCTGGTCGAGGGCAGGTAGGCCCGGGCCTCCACAGGTACGGCATCCACCGCCGCGAAATTCCAAAAAGGATTGACCGGCTTGTTGTGGATGCTGCATTGCATTACACGGCGGTCAGCAAGGTAAATGGAGTATTCCGCATGCCATGCCGCGACACACGTGTTCCCGCCACAACAACACATTTCGGGAGGTATGTATATGGAGGGGGGGACAGAGGAGGGGGGAAAAAGGGGATTGAAATGGGCGGGAGACTTTTCACGAGCGAAGGGCAGTGATTTTTTTTCATGCAGGGGGGGTCTCAATTTATTCCGACATAAAGTAACAAAAATGCTAGGGTCGCCGTAATGTATTCCTTAAGTGTGGGGCCCTGGGGGGGGCTACNTCCCCCC